GCCGGCCCGTCCCTTTCATTCCGTCTTTTCTCTCTCTATCTCTCTCTCTCTCTCTCTCTCTCTCTGTCTTTCCATCCCTCCCTTTTCATCCTCGTCTTCTCTTCCACCTTTCTTTTATTCCTTTTCACCACCCCGTTTGCCCCTTCTCTCTGTCTTCCCTGCCGACGCAGAGCCAAGCGAAACCAAGCCAAACCAACTCGTGGAAGTTCGTTTCGCTGAGAGAACAGACGTTTCCCCAATTATTATTATGAAGGCACACAGTTTCAGCCACCACGTCCAATTATATCTGGCGAAACTAATCTGTAAGTTTCTTTGTTAAATTTCGCGCTTGCAACTGGTAACAGGATTTTAAAAGCATAACTTGCCGCCGCGCCTCCTACCGTGCAGTCACGCGAACCAAGTTTCTGATGGAACCTGGTTAAGGGGGGCGACGCGGCGGGCTGCAAAACGGCTCGGGTTATTGCTCCTTCGTTACGTTGATGGGAGTATTAAGGACTGCCATCTTCCACGATTAATATATATGCCGTTAGACGATTGTACCTAACGAGCGACATTCATCATCCTACTCGGGAGTATAGAACCGGTGTTATTTGCTTTATATGCACGCGCGCGTAAAATGCAAATCGCGAAAATACCTTCTATTTCCACTCTCTGCGCATAATGCTCCGTTATTCTTCGCAAAAATACCGACATTTTTTTTTTTTTTTTTGGTTTTTTAATCGCTTTAACGTAAGAGAAACAACGGTGCAACCTACTTTTATCTCAGTCATTATCGATCGTATCGTTTTATTCCACCTTGGGAATTTATACGCTCTTTCTTTTAATCTTTCTGCTAGCAGTGTTTCCCGATAGCGATCTTCTCGTTTTACCGCGAACTTTCTTTCCGCGAGGATTTTATCGCGTTAAGAGTGTCGCTGTTCTTTCGATGTTTACGATACGTTTAGTGCGTGGTGTTTTTTACCGTTGCCAACTTTTTATTTCGCTGGTTAGGTCATGCCTAACGAGTGGACTGCGGATTTTTGTGCAAATTCGTATTTTTACGAATATAGTTGAAAAAAATAGGAGAAGAAATTTAAAAAAGTATATTTTTCCTTACTACTAAAATAATCTTATTCCGCGGCGCTAAATCAACTCTCGAAGTGGATCCCGCGTATTATGAAACGGCGTGCATAAACTACAACTTCCTTACCGACGTCTGAACGAGAAGTTGAACTTTTCGCAAAGGTGAAAGTTCGCCGGATGATAGTTTTCTACGTAGAAGCAGTTTAGCGGGATTTCTCGGCGAGGTGATAGAAAGTGATTATCGAGCGCAGGACGTCGGTTGTTGCATTCTTGCAGACAGGAGATCTCCGAACCGGATCGGCTCGGCGTGACGCGTTACATAAGAGGAAACATGCGAGAGATATGTGTTCCTTGGCTGTACGCGAAGGCAAGTAGATGTTCTCCCGGCAAACTTTCACCAGAATAGCATTCTCTCATGTACAGACGCCTTGCACGATTCTCACGAATATTTGCCGTGCACTCCGCTCCACTGCAGCCATATTTATACATTCGATACTTGGAATACCGATGTATCCACCAAATACATTTCCATACAACCTTTTACCATCGATCGTCCTACCGGCTACCCGGTATTTTCGGATTTGCCTAATTTCATTTCTCCCTCTCCTTTCCATCCTCCCTTCTCCTTCTAACCTCACCTCTGCAGTATTTCCTTAGTGAGAACCATTTTTTTTTTCTCCAGCACAACTGTTTGAGGTTAGGTCAGTAGCGAAGGTCTAAATGCGGGCTAGTTAATACGTGCTTGATTTTATTGAAAATAGGATGAAATTTTTATTTTGTTTACGTGTTGTATTCTCTTATTTCGCTGTTTCCACAGATTTCTCTAGAGATTAAGAGATTTACAGATTAAGCTAGGAGTACTGCACTGCTGATATTGTAAGCTTCTTTTTAGTATAGGTTTTGTAACGAATATCGTCGCTCTGAGCGTTCCTGACCAAACGATCCAAGTATGGGCTAGCCAATATTAGAATTCGGCGACTATGAGAAGTGTGATAAGAAAAATAAAAAGATATATACGCTTGTGACTAATGCAAACAGATTGTAAATAGCATTTAATTCTACATTTTTATACGTAGATAAACCTTATACTTCAACCTGAAAATATGCAGTTGTTACTTTTCATTTCGATTAGGGTAAAGTAGCCTAATACGAGACCCCAGCATATCTCCGTTACAGGACTCTCGAATGTCGCAGCGACGCTGTTTTGTTTCGTAATTAACCGCGTTAATTATCAAATTAAATGTGAAATTTGATCGAAAACAATCGAGCGTCTTCGACAAGCATAGTTGCAGAAAGTTTTTCGATTAAATTACAAATACCTCGAAAATAGTAAGTTTATAATCATTTTCATAAATACCGTTGTATAGTGCATGCAATGGAGTTTAAGGCTTGCCAGTTGGGTATCGTTAAATAACGAAGCTGCTCGGAAGTTCCTATTATAAGAAGAGTCTCATATTAGGTACCCAATTTTGCTTTAGCACCCACCGAGTCTGCGGTGCTGAAGAAACAGATTTAACACGCCCAATGTGTGAAAAAAGACAGAAAAAATAGTTTTTTATTTTTTATTTTATTACGAAGGAATCGAATTTTCGCGAATTGTCGCGTCCGTTCGCGTTTGATTGTTTCAAAAATGTTCGCGCTCGCGACTTATTACCCGCCAAATTAATATTGGGTAATTAGTTCAAAAGTTTACTTTGCCTGCGATGCGATTGACGACTTTGTTTTAGACTCGAATGATCGTTCCTCGTACGGTTGGAAACTGTGTGTGTGTGCTGTTCACACGAGAGGCTCCTTGCGAATGTCTCTCGATTGCCGAATTTTTTTCGGAGTCCGCCGTGAGAAGGCACGCTGACTGGTTTTTCACGTACGCACAAATTACCAATCAACGTGCCCCTTGAGTGGGACTCACCCTTCCAGTGCGCCCTTAGCGCGCTTTTCCTTGGAAGGAACGGGTGCGTGGAATCTTCGCTGTCCTTCGGTGACGCGTCGGAATTGTCCACTACGCACGTGTGGATTGACCCTTCAGGAATACCTGGCTTATGACACGTCTTCGGTTATCGAGGACGCGGATAAGTCGAAATTCTAAAGGCATTGAATTTTAATAATGTGGGGGGTTTTGGTATGAAAGAGTAATGTGAGAGAGTTGGTGTGAATGGCCTGGAAAGGAATGAAAGACGATCGTGCGTGGATGCGTGCGTTGGGGAAAAGGAAGAAGAGTGTGAAGTGCGTGTGTGAGGGAGAGAGCGAATCGGAGCAGCGGTGAGAATAATAAAAGGAAAGATTATAAGTGAACGCACCGGCGACGCGAGGGGTTACTTTTATTCAAATAAACAGAAAAGTATTTAACCAAATCCCACAATAACCTACTTTACGAGTGTCCCATATTTACTACACCTTTCTGAAAACGAACATTTTCCCTTTTATTTTAAACGCATAATTCGCAACATACTCCACGAGTTTGACAAGAAATCCTGAAATGAATTCTCCTCTATTGCCTCGCTACCTTACACTCCTCAGCTCTTACGTTACTTACGAAACTATCGAATTATTCAGATATCCACTTTCAAGCGACTCGCCTTGTACAGAGTGAAAGCTAGATCCAACTTGGTTGCATTCTTTCCAACGAACACCGAACCGGACAGATCGGGAAGAGAAGAGGCCAAGTGTAATACCGGCAATGAATGCTGGATGTTCCGCGTCGCTAACAGGGATTAAAGCAGCCCGATTAATAACGGTGACGTGGACAGCTGTGAAATTTTTCAAATGGCCATGTCCCCGCGTTTAAACGTTTAAACCTACCAATCGCTTTCCAATTTAGCCTTCCGTCTACAACGTCTAGGGCTCCACGCTGGACATATTCGCGAGTTAAAAATTAGATAGGAAAACTCCAGAGCTAGAGAGCCGTTGCAAACATTTTCGAAAATTGCCGTATTACCCTGTCAAGCGAAGCAATTTAAAACGGCACGACAGAACCTTCTTTTTTAAATACATAATTGATAGGGGCGAAAGCGGAGAATAAGAGAGAGAATTCTCCCCTGTGCAAACTTTTCCTCCAATTATTCGGCCTGCAGTTTGAGCAATGCCGCTCACCGTGCTCTGGCATTCAAATTAACTCGTTCGATCCTAGTGTTATTATACGGTTAAATTCGGAACAAAGGTGGAAAAAGTGGGATCGACGAACTTTCGATTTACGTGGAGGTAAAGATAAGAATGGCGTTGCTTGCCGTATTTCCTTTCTTTTTTTCGTTAGAACTATGTACAGTACAGTCTCTCTTAATAATAATCTTACGAAAGAAGTTTTTAAACGCCAACGATATCTTCTTTGTCAAGATTGTATATAGGAGGAATGTAAATTTGCAGGAAATGGGACACCTCCACTGAAATGCATGTTTTATAAAACTGTCTAACAAATATAAACTTGTAAATTCTTTACTTACCTTAACTTAAAATACTTTAGATACCTTGCTTTACTCGGTTTAATATAACAATGTAACAAATTGTTATCACGGTGTATACGGTGCATTTTTTCTTTGAGAAAATTAACTTGCTTCGCATACACCACCACCTATAACTATTTGCCCACCCATTTATTTACAGTATCCTTTCAATTATTCGACAAACCAGAAGTACCAACTAAAAAGAATAATTGTTTTTCAAATTTTCAATCTTTCAATAGTTACGTTGTGCAGCTGAACAAATAATTCTTGCTAACCTTTAACCCTTCGACAGTTTAACGTTTCTATTGTCATACCTGTGAAAGAAAAAAGCACGAATATCGTGTATCCACTAATTCGAAATGGCAGATTCACTTATGCATGCCTCAGATATATGTACCTACGTACACGAGTTCACGATCACTCCAACTATCTTTATTACTTAACAATATACGAGTCTGTCTTCCTCGAAGGGTTCGTCCCACTTCCAGGCTAGAGGTTTGCTCAGAGTTCCGAGTGTTTCTCGAGCACGTGATGTCCGCGGAACGGGGAGACAAACGCGAGGAAGAGAGCGGCCGCGATAAGAAAGAAGAAAAGTAGTCGAAAGATTTTTACGAGGCTGATATTGCTCTCGTCCACGCAATACTTCTTGGCCGCGGCGGCCGTGCACAGAACGTAACTCTCGACGTCGATTTCCGTGGCAACCGGAAATGCATCTTGGTCTTCTGGGGTGAGACGTTGCTGAACCAGGTACACGCGATTCCTCTCTGCTGACCACGGCCTCGATGAAATTGACTCAAGGGATCGAAGTGCATTACGAACTCTCTGCTGCTCCTCGAGAAGCCTGCGAAGAAGCAAAGGTTTTACCTCGGCGACTGATCTTTTTCCCTCCTCGCTATAGCGCCACCCCTTTCCCCCCTGTTTCTCTATTACT